GTTCCAAGGAGAGAATTCAGCAGTGCAGCCTCCTCTCCGAGCTCTGTGAGTTGATCGGCTTCCACTGCAAGTCCGCCTCCTTCAAGCAGGAGGCCCCCGTGCGGCCCGCGGCTCCCGGCATCCCGGAGCCTGGCGGGAAGGCCTGCTCCCGCCTCCTCCTGCAGACGCTTCCTGGCTACAGTCTGTCGCTGGACCTGCAGGACTTCAGAAAAGGTGTTGGAACTAAAACATTGCTTCAGTCCCATTAACCATGCCTGGTTTGGGCCCTGCTGTCCTGTCTCATCAGGGTGAATTTTGATTCGTTTAGAACAGGGCTCAGCAGACTTTTTCTGTCAAGGGCTTGGGAGTAAATATTTCAGGGTCTGCAAACCTCCTTATCTCTGGTGCAGCTGCTCAGCTCTGCTGTTCAGACGCCAGAACAGCCGGACAGTCCACACACCCACAGAGCTTTATTAACAGCAGTGGCTGGGGCTGGATAGGGTGTATGAACTGTAGTTTGTCCCCACAGCCTCCTCACTATTGACACCTGCACCAGAGCGTGCATTTGTGACAATGGTTGAACTTACACTGACACGTCATCATCACCCAGAGCCCATACTTGACACTAGGATTTACACTTGGTGGTGTGCACTCTGTGGGTTTGGACAGATGTGCAATGACATGTATCCACCATCACAGCATCATACAGAGTCGTCTGTCTTAGTGACCTTAAAATGCTCCGTGCTGCACCTCATTCATTGCTCCTTTCCCCTAGCCTCTGACTGCCACTGATCTTTTAGTCTCTGTGGTTTCCCCTTTCCCAGAACACCATACAGGTGGAATCAGACAGTTGCAGAACCTTCACAGATTGGCTTCTTTCACTTAGTAATATGCATTTAAGGTTCCTCCATGTCTTTCCATGCCTTGATAACTCATTTCATTTAAGCACCAAATAATAGTCCATTTTCTGGCTGGACCACAGTTTATCCATTCGCATACTGAAGAAGAGCTTAGTTGCTTCTGAATTCTGGTGAGTATGAATAAAGCTGCTATTAACATCTATATGCAGATTTGTGTGTGGACATAAGTTTCCATTTCATCGAGTAAACACCAAGGAGCACAGTTGCTGGATCATATGATAGAAGTACGTTTAGTTTTGTAAAAAATTGCCAGACCGTCTTCCAAAGTATGTGGGCCATTTTACATTCCCACCAACAATGCGTTAGAATTCCTGACGCTCCACATCCTCACCAGCATTCGGAGCTGTCAGTGTTCTGCATTTTGGCAGTTCTGACAGGTATGCAGTGGTATCTCTCTGTTTCACTCTGCATCCCCTTGATGACAGATGCTATGGTGCACCTTTCCATAGGCTTCTTTGACATCTAGATTTCTTCTTTGATGAGGTGTGTGTTCAGGTATTTTGCTCATTTTTT